AAAAACCTCAATAAGAGGTCTCTAATAATGTTATGCAATGCATTAGTTCTGTCACACCTTGATTGCGGTGATGTGATTTATGGTCCAATCATTCGACAAATCGATTCGAATAGGTTGCAAAGACTACAAAATTCATGTGCTAGATTGTTATGTGGCTTGAAAAAGAGAAATCGTACTTCCGATCATATACGAAGTAACAGCAATAAAGTAGGACACTGAATGCATGTGGTATTTCTCACAAAATTATCACTACACATAAGCCCCCTCACCTATATAATAGAATTGGCTTCAGTACTGACTTCCATATTATCAATCTGGGGAACAAAAACTGTTCCACAATACCATGACATAAAACTCATGCATTTCGTGGTTTCTTATTTCATAACGTCACAAAGATTCATGACTGGATTCCGTCCAAATATAAATAAATGAGCGGATATTGTTTCAACAGAGAAATTGAGAAGGATATGTTGACTGGTGTTATTATCAGCTGTATGAGATTATGACGACTGTTCCGCACTGAGATTGTATTTTATGATATAATTATTCACATATGAAGATTGAAGTCGCCTACTTCTCGAATATTATATTAGATTAACAAAGATCAACAGATCTATCGAGGTTGAGTCAAAGAGTAAGCTGCACCTTTTGAGTATACTGAACCCTGCTTTTTGACGAGCCACGTACATGAATGAATCAGTTCCAACCATGGAAAATATCTATTCATTCATTAGGGCATCCCCTTTGCTTCTCATTCGAGGCACTAGCTATTCGATTTCTGAGGTAAGCAGTGTCGAGCGCGATTAGTACTTGGATGGGTGACCATTCGAGGAAACGCCGCGCAAGCCCGCATCCGTAGCGGAATACCATTACATAGCTACAGCTACTATATCAATGAGCACAAGATATGGTACAGCTATGCTGTACTTCGGAGGGGACGTTAAGCCGGCGGTCCCGAGGCCATGGATGTTTGAATCGTTGAAGATCCCTACCTCTGGTTGAAACACTAGAGGATTTGGAAAAATTTCCGGTTGAGGGTAGTGTGCTCGCCGGCGTCGGTGATCAGCCTCAGTAGTAGAAAAAGGCCGACGTTAGAGGAACAAAGAAAGAAATTATCCAGTCATTATCCATAATTATTGTTCATAAATCGATGTACTCTACTGGCTTTCAATAAAATCTATCATTATTGATATTATTATAATTGTTACATTTTTTATTGAGAAATCAATTCATTGAACTTCTTTGTTAGGTGGAATATATTGAGTATCAGCTCGAGGGTTTCACTAGTGCAGATAGAAACCCAGGAGTCCAGTAGACCTTGATATTCAGAGAAATATTGGTCATTAATCATTGATAGGCATACCTACGAATACTTTTGGAGTTATCTGTGGAACGAAGTCACTGGCAAAGACACTTTGAAACAGGATGCTCCGTATCTCTAGATTTTTTGTGATTGCCTCTCTTTGTTTTCGTAAGTGAAATCAATATGAGTTTTATTTCTGACAAAAAAAACGCGAAACTCATAATAATAATAATAATAATAATAATAATATGTTTATTACGGTTAAATGAACAATGCTATAATGTAATACAAATATAAATGAATAAACATGTATACTCACAGAAGCAAGTGATTGCTTGTGCGTGAGAGTTTACAACTACAAATACATAAACATTATCAAAACAAATATATAAATAATGACAAAATAGGGATTTAATGTCCATTTCATGATATATTCGACACAATTGGGATATATTTGACATAATCGGGATATTCGACACAATCAGGATATATTTGACATAATCAGGATATGTTTGACACAATCGGGGTCTGCTTTTTTTTTTTTTTTTTTTTTTTTTTTTATTAATTAATTATTTTACTTTTTCTCAAATCATTATATTGTTAACAAAGTAACTGAAGAATGCTCTTTCCGTGTTTAAAATCCACATTTTAACCATATATTTGAAAGAGTTTTTATTAATTACAGATTTCAGTTGTGGAGGGAGGAGATTATATAATTTAGGCCCCAAATACTGTGAACTTCTTTGTCCAATATTCTTATCGCACTTGGGTATTTTAACAGTAGTGTTTTTATTTCGGGTGGCATAGTTGTGGTCTGTGGGTTCCAATACAATTTTAGATGTGTGGATGTTAATTATTAACTTCTGGCAGTATAATTGTCTTAAATCTAGGATTTGACTACTGAGAAAGAGTTCATTACTGGAAAAAGTGAGTTTTTTTTTGTAAATAATTCTCAAAACCCATTTTTGTACAACATTCAGTCTTTCTAGATGACGGTCAAGAACTCCTCCCCAACCCATTATACCATAAGACAAGTGAGACTGGATGAGTGCATAGTATACTGTTTTTAGGTGATGAATATCTAAAAATTGCGACAGATATCTAAATCTACCAATGAGGCCTCTAATTTTTTTCGTTATGAATGCAACGTGTAAATCCCAACGTAAATGTTTGTCTATTATGACACCCAGATACTTAACAGACTCAGCTTCAGGTATTGTCGTAACTTCATCGATATTCAAATTTCCTAGTTGTGGCAGATAATTAAGATAGGACGTAAATGGGAGGTAATGAGTTTTATTCAGATTCAGAGTAAGTTTGTTGCATTGGAACCACTTCTTAATGACTTGGAAATCAGTTTCTGCCTTGATTTTCAAATTTCTCCATGTATCAGCAGTGTAGAATAACACCGTATCATCAGCAAAGCTGAGAATTGTCCCTCGGGAATCGATATGTAAAAGGCTATTTATATATAATGTGAATAATAGTGGGCCCAACACAGTGCCTTGGGGAACACCAAATGTGACAGTCCTCGGTTCGCTGATATTTTCATGGAGGCATACTCGTTGTTGTCGATCTGCCAAATAACTTTTCAGAAGATCATAAGTTTTACCTCTAATACCGTATGAATATAGTTTTCCAAGTAATACCTCATGACTCACGGTATCAAACGCTTTAGACAGGTCTATAAATATACCTAAGGCTGGAGTTTTTTTATCTATTGCCTTATATATGAGTGATGTTAATGAATAGATCGCATCTTCTGTAGACTTCCCCTCCCTGAAGCCATATTGATGTTCGGAAATAATTTTATGCTTGGTAAAGAAATTTGTTAGTCTACTTTTTATCAATTTCTCAATTATTTTAGATAATGTTGAGATTAGTGATATTGGTCTGTAGTTATTAATATCTGATTTATTACCTCCCTTATGTAGTGGCTTGATGAGACCAATTTTTAAAGATTTAGGAAAATAAGTTGCATCGAAGCATTTGCTAATCAGAAAGTTCAGTGGTAAGATAATGAGATCAGAAATTTGTTTCAGAGTTTCAGCTCTCAGTCCATCTATTCCGGGGGATTTTTTTGGCTTGAGACTATTTATAGTATTGATTATTTCACTATTGGTTGGTGGAAAAAGGTACATGGTATAATTCAAAGCTGAAATATTGTCCTGAAACTGGAAGGGTTCCTCAATTTTATCCGCATAGTTTTTACCTAGATCGCAGTAAAAATTGTTGAATTCATTTGCCATCAATTTTTCGTCAGTAATAATTTCATTTGTATCTGTTATGATTTTTGTAATTTTTGTTTCACTTTTACTTTTGCCACATATATTATTCACACATGTCCACAATTTTTTTGATGACCCTTTATTACCATCAATTTGTTTTTTGAAATAATCTTTTTTATTCTTCTGTATCAAGTTGTTAAGTTTATTTTTATAGGATTTATATTCCATTTCTATGATTACGTTATTCGGGTTTTTTCGTAATTTGTTGTATAATTCATATTTAGTTGATATAGATTTTAACAGACATTTGGTAATCCAGGGTTTCTTGATTCTATGTTTTGAAGATATTTTCACGACATTGGTACAGTTACTGATATGATCGTTCAATGTTTTAATAAACGAATCCGTTATTTCATCTACGGTTTCAGAAGTATACGTAGTATACCATGATTCTGTATTTAGAGCGTTTCTCAATTTTTTGAAATCAATGAATTTTTTGTGTGAAAGTATTTTTTTATCTTCCTTCATTATGTGAAAGGACATAGTGAGAATTATGGGGTCGTGGTCCGTTAAATCATGCGGGAAAATGTATGATTTTATTTTTCTAATTTTTTCAGAGTTATTTAATACAAAAAAATGATCCAAGCAAGTCATGCTGGCTCTACGAGTGATATGATTTATGTAAGATATGAAATCGAATGAATTTAAAATTGTTTTATAATCGTCAATAAAATCTGTGTCTCCCATCAAATTAATATTGATGTCACCAGTGATAACATGGTTTTTGTGTTTATTGTTCGTTAAATATTCCAAGAGATCTGCATTGAATATTTTTGGACAGCTATTCGGGGATCTATATATACCTGTTATCGTTATGGGTTCATCGCAATTCAGAATACTCAATTCAATTGATTTTGACTGAGCCAGATTGATAATATTGTAACAGAAGTCTAAATTGTTTTTTACATACATGATAACACCATCATGGTTATTGAAATCACCATTGTTATATATGACATGATAACCCGCAATGTTGAACAAGTTGATGTCATGAATTTGAAATGTTTCAGTTAGTACAATGACATCAAAATCAAAATTCACTTGGCTGAGCAAAATATTTAAATCATCAAAGTGTTTTTGGATACTGCGGATATTCATGTGAAATATTTTAAATTGCTTATTTTTTGTATCATGGATCTTGTTGAAATCTGGTATACTATTGAGAATTTCAGTTTGGATTGGATCGACGTCATATTCTCGTATAAACGGATCCATTTCAATTTCATGCAGGCATTTTAATTTATTAAGATATTAACAAAACGGGAAACAGTTTCTTATCTCTGTAAAATACATAAAAATTATTGAAAAAGTATAATGATCTGGGCAATTTCTTTGAAATATGAAAGTAAATTATAACAAATAAATATATAAATTTTGGATATTGTACATACGATACTAGGTGCCTAAGATTATTTTGCGCTCTTCTCTGATGTTTTGGCACGTGTGTTTTTGGGTGAGAAGTTGTTTCCAGTATGTCCTCTTCTTTTTTTTGTTTCTCTCGCTGATACTGGACTAGTTCTGTTCCTTTTTTTCTTCTCCGTTGGTTTTTGATTCAAGCTACTTTCCTCCTCTCCGCCTATATCAGTATCTTCTTCTGATTGGCTTTCGAATTCACTCTCTGAGTCTAGATTTTCTAATTCTTCCACAGAGTACAGTTTATCATTAATTTCTAATTTAAATCCCCGTATTCTTGCTTTCTTGTTATTCTCTCTTGCAGCTTTCAGATGTTTTACGAGTACTTTTTGTTTCTCACGATCTTGGGGACACAGATCATTCACAATAGATATTTTTGTATTTTTCAGTTTTGCAATGTTTTTAAAAATATTCTTTTTGTTCAAAAAAGAAACAAATTGTATCAACACTCCTTTATTTCCTTCGTGTTTTCCGATTTCATATAAATTATTGATATCGTGTTTTTGAAGATTCAATCCCAGTAAATTATTGAGATTTGCCAAAGTTTGTTCCAATAGGTTTTCTGGAGTTTGATTCAGTCCGAATACAATAATATTGTTCTTTTTCAATTGTCTTTCTAGGGTAAGGTTTCTTTCTTCCAGAACAATGATTTGTTTCTCCGTTTCTAACAACTTTTTTTCTAATTCTTCTTTATTTTTGTTGATTTCTTTGGTGATTATTTCGGTTTGTTCTTCCTGTGATTTTTTCAGCAGCTCATATAATTCTCTTGTTGATAATTCGCCTCCTGACATCATGAATCGATTCCAGAGAGAACTATTTCAACTGACCTGGTATAAACTTCGGCTAGTTAAAAATAACACAAAACATCGGAGCTCTTCTAAATGACTTGCATTAAAAACTGCTGATAATTATTTATCATCTCGACACCACACAAAAAGTCGCTTCGAATGTGTAAAATTCCTTTACAAGCACAATATTAGATGCAATTTTCTACTAACATATAAAAGGATTCACTTTATAGGTTACACCAACTTGCAGTATTATCACTGAACTATGCATGTGCGAAAATTCGGTATTTTTTCACTACAATTTACTGCAAAATTAACCACTTTTTACGGAGCTCTCTGAATAGATGGCTATACCTATAGCTATTCATTCATTCATTCATAGCACCGCTATACTAGCTAACCAATTTTGAGAGATGAAAGAACAAATGGAATTACTCATCAGATACTATGAGTAGGCTTTGATCATTAGTCTTTCCAAATTTCAATCGTAACGTAAGCGAGTGTCAACTATTTTTCCTTCGATTGGAACCTAATAATTTTCTATGTTCGAATGTTTTTCTGAATACAGTGATCTATGACAAGTTGACATCAAGATACAATTAGGGGAAGTAGAAAATGAATGCTCAATTAACCAGAAATGGGTATTTTCATGTAATTTTGACATGCTTTATTGAATGTGGCAGCAAATCCCACTGGTATCAACGTCAGTATTTGATATGTGAGATATCTAGACACCACATGTGATTTTGAAGTGCGCTGTGAAATGATTGAAATATTCTAACTGATGACAATGAATCTATGGCTTGAAGCGTTAATTGTCAGTAAGCCTGTATATTATGTGAAGTAAGGACAAAAATCGCTGCGTTTACGGATTTAATCATTGAAAAACCTCATTGACAAATCGCCAACTATTTCATTCATTCCCCTCAAAAAACGTGACAATCATTACAATAAAGGAATATTTCGGAATTCAAAATTCCACATCGTGTTTGAATATAATTCTGATGGAACAAAAGAATTATTTTGGGATAATAATTGGTATTTTCATTACCTCCGCTATGTTGACTTCATCATGCATACATATGAATGATTATGGTCATAAATACCGACTAGAAACGATGTATCACTTTTGATTACAGTGTCACATTGCTCTCTCTGAATAATGAACAGGAGACTCAGTGACGCTATAAGAATAATGTGGTAACATGGATATGAGAGTAGATGATGTTACCTTTCAACTGAGAAAAATCGTATTTTTTCAGCACCAGAACCAAATATATGCGTACCTACTCGGCTTTTTCTGCGAAAATATATTTTTTTGCTGAGATCTATTACGCTCTCGTTTCCGTAACATACCTCCATTTATCATTCAATACAGAAAATCTTATGTGGAATAGTAGTAAAACAAAGGGATTGCACAGCTGCTCTCTCGTACATGCTTTCTTACCTATGAGAGTGCAGAAATTTTGAACGTACAAAATGAGTACCCCTTGCTCTCCCATACATATGTTTCCTTACCTATGGGAGTTCTGATATTTCAATATGAGTACCCCTTGCTCTCTCATACATGTTTCCTTACCTATGAGAGTACACCTTGCTCTCTCATATATGTTTCCTTACCTATGAGAGTACTCCTTGCTCTCTCATACATGTTTCCTTACCTATGAGAGTACACCTTGCTCTCTCATATATGTTCTCTTACCTATGAGAGTACCCCTTGCTCTCTCATACATGTTTCCTTACCTATGAGAGTTCGAACATACAGTATAAGTACACCTTGCTCATATTTCTGGTTGCGCCACTGCGCTCCATTGGAAAGCATTCCGAAATAAGTGCACCGAGTAGAAGTGAAAGCAGTTGCTGTGACCATTGCGAAATCATGTATTCCGATTTCACTCCATAAGAGAATGTCTGGCCTACTTGGAGGTTATGTAAATAATTCCCCTGAAAAAATTGATGATGAATGTCCGCTTATAATAAAAACTATATATGTTGAATTTTTCGAAAAATGTCTCATTTATCAAAAGACAATGTGTCAACAACAACAACTTGTGGAAGAGTGCCGCTTTGATGAAATCGAAACACAAAGCGAACAAGTTGAGGATGGACCATCCGTAGATTTTGTGGATGAATATAGGTGCCGTCTTGATGTAATCGAATCACAAAGCGAAATCTTTCAGTTGAGTGAATTGGAAATCGATGAGGATGCTGATGTTCATCTGAGCTATCCGCATTTTGGAAATCCTTTCAGATATCCCGAAAGTCAATCACCGCTGGATAATTGTATTTTGAATAATATCTGCCAAACACAATATGCTAGTTGTAATATTTATTATCACATATTTTCGCCCAATGATGATAAACATTTCATTTTTTGTCTTCAATGTTATGACTTCCTTTCTGATGATGTTCAGAAATTGATTAAAAATTATAAAGAAGTAATGTGCAACAGAAAACATGTACATATGCCTGGACATATACATTGCTTCAAATGTCAAAGGGATTGCGTAAATTACAGACTATGTGAATTCCGAAGGGTGAATGCATTCAGGAATAACTTGGGTGTATGGACTTCTCGAAAATAAAAAAATTATAGAACGATACGTTGTTTCAATATTATGACCCCGTTCTCAATAGAGAGAGTGTGTCCATGAGAGAACGGCGAAGTAGGAACATCGAATATATAAGCGTTCAGCGATTGCAGTAGAATCATTACATTGCGAAAATCTACAAAGCAGTATAACAAGTGCCTACATAAACTAAAAGGTGAGTTTCCAACTGGTTATTATTTTCTCTTTGAATTTTTATTCTGTACTTCTCAACCAAATCTTCGTTTCAAGTATATTGAATAGTGTAATTAATTTTAGATGGATCTTACAGCTATCAACAGACAAGCATCATTGGACAGGAAGGAATCGATCAAATTAAGCGATCTACCCATCGGTGTAAAATTCCCAATTAAATCGGTGCGAGTCTTCAAGACTCGTTTTGGAAAGACTGTCCTAGTGGAACTCCAGGAGAAGGTAGTCTTCCTGCCAAGCAGAATAACGGAGCTGATTGAAGGCAAAGAAGAGGAATTCGCCGGAGGCAAATATTGTCTCATATTCCGGGGCACAAAGGATGTTGGGAAAGCCAAGGACGGCAACACATTTGAAATTGTAGAATAAGTGAGTGTTTACATTGCGAATAATTTTATCTATTTTTTTTAATTGTAAGGTAAAATGTCTGAAATTGCTAAATCAAGTGATCATGTTGTCAATATATTCCGGAAAGCTTATCAACTCATATCTGAATCTTCAAATCTGGCTACAAAGAAACGATGGACTAAATTTATAGATCAAAACTTGAGAATTTTAATGAAAGCTATTCGTGTGGGTGATATGAATGTACCTGCTCAGAGAAAAGTTCAAACGAATATAGGACATCTGAAACGTTTCAGAAAATTGATAAATAACCCCATACAGAGCGGATTGAAAAGAAGTGAAAGGATTAGGTGGAAAGATATTCAGTCAGCCTTTTCCACTCGAATACGGTCGGGAATAATTATTAATTTGAAACATATCGATGTCAAAACATTTTTGGATGACTCTTTCGAATTATTCAAGAATAGAATCAAGCGATTATTGAAAACCATTCATGTTATGAAAGTCAATACTTCTTTTTGCGGAGAATTCCTCAAAAATAACTCATCTGGTGAAATTATAATAGAATTCAAATATTTCCCAACTAAAAATTTCATCATTGACTGTACAGTAGATTTGAAGCATTGGTATAATGATAGTGTAATCGATGTAATTTTGAATAAATTAGACGAATTTCAAGAGAGAGATAGTGGGTGGACTTTAAGTAAAATCGTTAGCTTAGAAGTCAATATAAATCAGGTGGAATTCGGAAACGGGGGTTCATCATATATAAAATTGCCAGTTCAGATTGATAAGAAACATGCTTGCATCAATATAAAAAATGACGATGAAGCATGTTTCGCTTGGGCAGTAGTTTCATGTTTATATCCTGCAGAATCTAATCATTCGAAAACTTCATCGTATCCCAATTACAATGATGTACTCGATTTAACTGGTATTCAGTTACCTATGAAATTGAATCAAATCAATAAATTCGAAGCTCTCAACAATTTGTCAATTAATGTCTTCATTCTTGAATTCGATCAAAAGAGAAAATTGATAACAGTTCCTCTAAGAATTACAAAAAATAAAATTTGCGATCGCCATGTTAATCTCTTGATGATTCAAGAAAATTATTTTGGTGGTGAAGATAGTAGTGAAATGGAGAATACATCTTTCTTTGATATTGATGATGAAGATTTCATTTCATTTCATTTTTGTTGGATTAAAGATTTATCCAGATTAGTTTCTAATCAATTATCAAATCATCATGGTAGAATTTTCATATGCGATAGATGTTTAAATTACTTTAGTGATTCAGATAAACTGAAAGCTCACGATATTTACTGTAAAGATATAAATAAGTGTAAAATATCATTTCCTGATGAAAAGTATATAGAGTTTCAAAATTATGGTCATAAAGAAACAGTACCTTTTGTTATGTACTGTGATTTTGAGTCATTATTGATCCCTTTCGAAGAAGAAGAGCAGCGAAAAAAGATGATAAAAACGTCTCGTTATCAAAAACACGAAGTTTTTAGTGCAGGATACTATTTGAAATGCAATTTCGATGAAACACTCACATTTTTCAAGAGTTATCGTGGGTTGGATTGTATCGATTGGTTCGTGAAGGAATTGGATGAACTGGCAGAGCTCATAGATTCAAAAATGCAAATGAATGTACCAATGATATTAGATAATGATGCAAGCAATAAGATAATATTGGAACAAAACAATTTGACTAAGAGGGAAAGAGCAACATTGTACAATAATGCTACCTTTGGTAAAAGAAAAAATGCATTAGTAGGTATATGTCACATTTGTGAAAAGCCTTTCAAGGAAGGGGATACTATTGCTCGCGACCATAATCATTATAATGGAATGTTTCGAGGTCTTAGTCATTCATCATGTAATCTTAACTACAAAACTTCCCGGATTGTACCATTTTTTTTCCATAACCTATCTGGCTATGATAGCCATTTCATTATAAAGGATATA